TACCCTTAATTGTAGCTATATGTGAGAATTGACTTCCTGAGCTCACATATGGTGTGTATCTGGTTTTGTTTTTAAAATCGAATGCTACAGTTTTGAGCTAAGCAAATTTCCAATTAAAACATATTTTTGTTAGCAATTAACCATATTAATATTAATATTTGCTTATGAAAGGCCGTGGTGTAGAGCTTATGTTTGCTTTTAATTTAGAAAACTGGTGGCATGCACACTAATTAAATTAGTATTTTATCTATAAAACTAAGAAACATGTGACATGATTATCTCTGCTACATACTACGCTGTGGATTACTGTACATTTGCTTGCAGCCTGCAGTGTTCTGCACCCTAGACACAGCACCAGTTGCGAAGAACTGCAGCAGCAGATGCAGGAGAACGTCCGTCAGGCTGCTCGGCGAGCTCACGTTGGTGGTTCTCGGCAGCTCGATGGAGCTTGAGCGGCATGCCCGACGATGGACACCGTCAGATGGTGGACCGATGATGTTGATGACTTGTAGACGTCCGGGCACTAGATCGGCAGCGGGGGCTTTGGCTAGGCTTGCGCGTCCGTCTTTGCAGATCGAGAAGCTCAGGCGGTGACAGCACACAAAGGACGTCATCATGCAGGTGGTTCGGGAACTGGCCAGCGAACAGCTTCCGTCCTGTCCGTGGTGTCGATGCTTATTGCTCCAGCGTTTGATGTACGCACAGGGATGGAACTTTCAGAACTGAATTGCAGCAGATGATTAGCGGTGGCCTGCTCGTGCCCGACGTGAATAGGAACATGATGTCCGGCTGGAGAGATTTGCATTGCATGTGTGCATGGCAGCTTGCTAGCTAGTTGGAACACAGACCTTAGGGCTCTACAGGCAGCAAACGCTTGGCTTCCTCACCTGCTCGGGCAGGGAGAGCACAGTGAGCTTTGCGACCAGGAAAGGCGCAGCTGTGGCACGTCGGCAGGCATGCACATACGATTGACGACAGTGGTCAACTGCATGCTGATCCCGCTGACAGGGCATGCTCAACTGGACAAGAGGAGCGTGGGAGACGTGGCAATCGGCAGCTGCGGGGCGGCGAGACGTTGGAGATAGCGTAGTAAAAAGAAGGGGGCAAATCTAGTTTACTACCTTAGGATTCCAAAACTAGAGGCTTCCCGTACGATAGTTCTAGTGTGCTTTAGCCAAGTAGTTGCTACATATTTATATGGAGGAAAACTCTCCATCTCCATATCATCTATAAATACGCTATTAATTGATGTTGCACCATACACCTCCACTAACGGGCCTAGAAAACATTAAAGCCCATAAGTAAATAAAGACATGGGCCTTTAAGATTCTTTAGGATTTTAGATTTTTTCTAATATCGAAATTAGATAATTTCATGAAATCAAAGTAATCTAGGAAATCTAGAATTACCGTTTATACGACGAAAAGTATTCCAAAGCTTAGAAAAATTATCCAAAGAAAAATCCTAAAGACAAATTGAAGGACAAGGACTCAAATAAAATATTTGGAGCTCATGAAAAGATTGTTGGGAGCTTGGAATAGAAAGTTTAAGGTCAAGGAGGTATGAATTAAATTCCAGAAAAAGCTGGAAAATTTTCTAGAGATAGATGTTCATCTCCTAAATGTATTTTAAAAATATTTTGCACATAAACAAGGTGCAACTGGCATGAATGCAACAAACACTTATATTAAATTATAAAAATTTTAAGAACCCATATTTTCACTCTAAATTGGTAACAAACTAAATAAATCTTGCAAATTTTATAAAAATCATAAATAGTGTATTTTATTTAGTGTTTTCTATTCACAACCCAAAATTAGAAATTTTGGGGTGAGACATCCCACCTTCTAATGCATTTAATTGTCGGTACATATTTTGAATCAACTACTCCTATCAGTCCATTGATGCTGCTTGTGAGCTTGCCTTCCATGCAAGAAGTAGTTAATTTGAAGTGTAGAAATAAAGCGAAATAAATACTAATTTAAAATATCAAAAAGAAAAGTTCCAACGAATCGGAGTCTATATAATCCTTTCTAATATGCATACAACTCAACAGATGGAACCACTATTCTCCAGTAAGGGGTAATTGGCTAGTGGAACAGGGAGTAGGATGTTCAAAGAAGTCAAGAAGAACCAGCCATTGTGTTGGGAATGGGAGGCAAAAGGAAAATACATATTAGACTATGGAAAAAATAGAGGGACGTGGCACGGGCGGAGGGCTCAATATTGTGACATCGTAGTCTTGAGGTGCAATGGGGATTCTGTTGTGGCAGCTGGCGGTGTTGATAGAGGTTTGTTGTGTTTGCAATAACCAAGTTTGTTCGTTGATAGAGGAAATTGTCGTAGCTAACTCGCTGCAGAGTTTGGTGTTCTTTTGTTTTTTCTTTTTTCCTGTAAGTAGCTTCAGAAGGCTAATTGCTTGTCTTTTCTTCTATATCAATAGAAACAAACACCGACCTCTGTGCCAGTTTGTTTAATAAAATATAAACACTATGTTTAGATACATATAGTAAAAATAATATATCTAGATCTAGAAAAACTAAAACGCCTTATAAGTTATAATGTATCAAGAAAAGCTAAAACATCTTCAGCCTGTTCGGTTGGCTGGTTCGTTTCGTTGCTGGTTCGTGAAGAAAAGTACTGTTGGCTGGTTTGTGTGAGAGAAAAATACTGTTCCGACTGGAAATTTACGATCGTTTACGACAAGCCACAGCCAAACGAACAGGCTGCTTATAATTTAAAATAGATGGAGTAGTATATTTGACCATACAAAGGACGTCTCCAGATTAGTTTAGGAGTAATTCGGAGGCGTCTAATATAATAATGTGTCACATGTTCAGTGCCAGGAGCATGAGCTGCAGAAAAGTTGGAGCAACCTTGATGGAGTCTAGTACGTGATCATTGATGGGTTATTTAACAGTAATCAAGTTGCCGCTCTTACTACTAGTACTGCTTATTGATGAGGAGAGCTGACTAGCTATCATTGATTTTAACAGTGACACTCAAATCGTTGCCCAATCTCAACTATCCTCTGGTGACATATATTATTCACGATGCTGATAAGCAAACCTTCATTTCATGATATGGCAATTTATATAGGGCGTGTAAATGCATAGCATAAGAAAATTGGTCACCCACCAGCAACTCCCAACAGCAGTGATATATAAAAATCTAATTAATCTCCTCTAGCTCAACATATATGTACTATATATGGTTCTCCCAGTTACGTTAAAATGTGTCACAGCTTTTATGTCAGTTTTTTTTGTGCGAAATTCAAACTCGTGACCAAAAGCATTGCACAACCCCGTGTTACCACCCCCACTACTTCATTCCTCCCGTGACACCAAGGGAGATGTAATTCATATGTATGCATATGGAAGCTCCGCATAAAGGGAAACCTTCCCATAAATAGTTTTTGAATGGGGTGGGGTAACACTCGTCTCATGCTATGAGTAGCTTCAGCCGCGAGCACCATATAATATATGGTGTGCCTACTTCCTACCATTTATATAAGTGATTCCATATCAACAACAACGAAAGCACATACTGGTAATAACCATTGGCACTGATCAAACCAAAAATTCGAACGGCCCACACACTAACTAATTGAGCCACTAAACATTGCTTCACTTATAGCTTGCAGGACTCAACGACGTGTGAGCATCACCCACCACAGATTAGACTAGTGGAGGTTGACTGGAAGGGATTGGAGAAGCAGTTAGTACTGTGAGATGGGAATAGGAGGCACAAGGGAATTTGTGGCCAGTCACAACAAACCTATTTGCGTCATCATGGCCTCACTGGTAGTAATAGGGCAAATCCCTTGTTGATTCTGTCACACAGTTAGCGAGATTGGAGGATGGAGGGCAGCAGTCCTTCACCCTTTCACAATTCCACACCTAATCATCTACGAGGATGCTAATGCCATCTGTTCTCCACAAGCTGTTCCTATTTTTTTATTATGATGATTCGCACCACCCGGTTTCTTTCCACAATCATGTATCACTATATATATATATATATATATATATATATATATATATATATATATATATATATATATATATATATATATATATATATATAGTTTTTATGCAGTGTGGCACATATCAAAATTAGAAAAAATTAGGCACAGGTTGCGGTAAGAAACAGATTAGGCCTATCCCAGAAATTTGAAAGCACAAGCAATTGCTTAGCTTGGAACACTCAGTAATACTGAAATTTGCAAGTACAGAATCTTATCTGAACCTATGTATTTTTTATTTAAAATTGTTCCGAACTATGTGTTAACAAAAAAAAGGCATCACGAACCGCAGAATGGAGGCCGGCTATATGAGCCCAGCAGCCATCCTTGAGCACAGATAATGTTGGAGCCTTCAATGGAGGTGCCAAGCTAGATCCTTCTTGGCACAGATCCAAGCACTGCTCGCTGGATGCACCCTGTCACAGCCAGACCCACGTCCCTATGCCCACCCATGCCACCAGTGTCAATATTCTCTGTGTTGCCAGGTGGGGTTGAGGCCGGGAATCCTCGGTTGTGAAACCACACTAACCTACCCATAGAAAACCTTAGAAGTGCTGCCACACTCGCACCCGCCACTATACAAAACTGATTTTACTTGACAGTGTATTTTAATTTTGGAGGCAGGCATAAAGTTTCTGTGTCTCCAAAAATATCCAAAAATATACAGCTAACTTTAGAGGCGACTGGTCTGTTTTAGGAGACAGCCCCGCCTCTATAAATTTATTAACAGAGCACGCCTCTTTAGCCTACCTCTGAAAATAGAGCCTATTTTAGAAGGCCAAGCCCACAATCAACCCAATAGCCTTTAAGTCTCTAACACCCCTAAACACTAAGTTCACTGTGAACCCTCTATGTCTACTACCACTCAGCTGCCACCCCTCTGTCCATATATAAATACTGTCACAGTGGTGGCAACATCGCACGCGGGCCTGGGCCTTCTTGTTCAGTGTTGGCAGCGCCTTCCTGAAGACCGAGCATGGTGATTTCTTCGTTCCTCAAGGTTGAGGATAGAGGTCATAGATGCCGTGCTGTAGTGGGCTGTGAAGCTCTGGGTCTCGCGTAACAGGAGACGACCAACCCGTCGCCGTCACCACATCTGCCATTGCCGCTGCCATCTTCGACGGCAGGAGCTTCATCAAGAGAGAAGACCATAGAGAGGCAAGCATCACTACTGGAAAAATTTTCTGTGCATTTTTTCGGCCGCCTTTCTCCACCTCCTCCTCCCCCCATCGCGTCATTCTGTGCTGGCCGGTCCCTCGCCGCTGGCTCACGCGCCGCGCGAGCGGGCCTCGTCGGTGGCTGCCGGTGTGCCTCCCAACCCTTGCTGCCTCCTCGCACCGGTCAGCGTCTGCTTCGGTGCTCCATGAAACCCTAGCCTCTCTCTCTCTCCCTCCCTCTCCTCTCCTCCCCTCCGTCACCTCCCCTCCGCCACCTCCCCTCCTCGATCGCTCCTCGCCTCGGCGCGCCGGACGTGCACCACCGTGACCTCCTCCCCGCGATGTGCACTGCCAGGCTCCAGCGCACGCGCCGCCCTTCTCCAGCGCCAGCGCCGCCTCTTCCCGTCACCGGCGGCACTTCTCCGCCTTCTCCACGGTCTCAATCTAATCGGCAGCATTCTCGTCATCGGTGGCCAAGGCGGGCCCGTGCTGAGTGCGCGGGCGGGAGCAGGTGAAGGTCTCCAAGCTCGAGATCCCGATGCAGATCCGGGAGGGTCCGGCGTGGCGGCAGGCGCCGTCCGCCGCGGGGGCGCTGCGGTCGCCGATGTCCGCCATGATGCTCACCATGTTCGCTACCATGGCCTCCTTCTACGTTGCCGGACGGTGAGTCCGCCCGCCCGCCGGTTTCCATCATTAGTTTCTTCGCGAAAATCCTCGCTTGCTTGGGTTCTTCTGTTCGATTGTTTGGTATATGCGTGTGCTACCAATAATCCGTGGGGGGATTCTAGATCCCTGTATGTCTCTGGCGGGAGCTGCTCATGGTGATCTTGCTAGGGAAGTTATGATCCAGCCGGTGGTGCATTTTAGAACTGCGGGTGAGGTTTTGATCTCTCAAACGGAATCCAGTGCGAGGCTCACATTTTGTTGCGATGTTAGTACTTGTTTCTGCAGCACTCGGATTTTGCAGTGTCACAGTTCATGAGTGGAGTACTCCCTTTTGTGCTAGTATTGATGAAGACCAATCTTAGTTCTAAGGCACCTTACCTTTTAACTTGATCTGGATTGTCATAGTAACGGAAAACTGTTCCTCTGTAGAAATGGTTTGTGTTTTTGCCTTTTGCTGTTTGTAGAGGAAAAATTGTTGACGTCCTGAATTTCAGATTGTGGCAGGATGCTTAGAACAGAGTTTATCTCATTAAGCAGCACAGCTGGCTCTTTTGTTCTCTAGTGGAACGATCCAGCTGTGCTGCTTACTTAAGAGCCCCATTAACTCTCTTGTGCATGTGATTCAGGGGCAATCAGCAATATCTGTGGATGATACCTTGAAGGTTGTTGTATGCAGGTAATTCTAAGTTTCTAACCTTTCAGGTTATATGCCGAAATTGCCTTTCAATGCACAATCTGACAATTTTCTTAATGCGTTTGAAAGTATGAACTTTTGCATTTGCTGTCTAATTGGAACTAGTGCTCCAAACATGCAGAATTTATTCTAGTATGAGAGTTTGGAGCTGTACTAATTGCTTCTGTGTAAACATCCTCCATTTTTTAGGCAGCAAGGGAAGCGGTTGGCATCGCTTGAGATGGAGCTTGCTGCAGCAAAGCATGAAGGTTTTGTTGGCAAATACAATCCTGAGACAAATGGAACTCGCTCTGGGAAAAAGCCACTGATTGTTATTGGAATAATGACTAGCTTTGGGAGGAAAAACTACCGTGATGCTGTCAGGAAATCATGGCTTCCGACAGATACACTTCATGCTTGCATTTTTCTTACATCTGTTTCTTTTGGTATTCTGACATACAGCAATATTAATAATTCCATAAGAAAAGAATATTAATACCAAAATTTGGAAATTCAGTTCTCATATTTATTATGTCAGAAAGTCCTTTTTTAGTTATTATGACTAACTTAATCTAATGAGGATGCATTTACTAAAACCGTGTATAGATTTTTTTGCATGCTTTTAGAGGAGATTCAAATTGCAGAGATAAAGTGCATAATGACGAGTACAGAAACTGATGCTCTTGTTATGGCTTCGATAGATTTCAGGTTTCTTACGTGTACACCTTTCCAATGTTTGCCTCTTTGGAACGTAGTTTAATTATAGAATTGGTGCTCTTGCCGTTTCTTGAATATGTTTCAAGTTCTTACATGTTCTCTGAATTTTGGTTGGGCAATATATATTTGACAGTGACTCATGGACATAAGAGAAAGGATAAAAGATATGTCATATTGGGACTGTCAAAGTGTTCAGTGAGTAAACTTTTCTTTCAGCTACTGCTTATCAGAGTGGTCTTAACTTACTATTGTAGATTTAAGCTACATCTTATAAATTTTACAGGTTTATATGAGTGGTTCATAAATCAAACAATGAAAAGAGCATGCCTTTTTTACTGTCAAATATAAAGGTAAAACGGTCATATCATTTCCTTTCTTTTAGCATAGTTTTTTTATATTCCTTTTACAACGCAGGTAGAAATTTCTGTGCAAAGTTGGTGCGCGCATAGGGATTTACAATACAGGTGGATTTTAGGCCTGTGGCCACATAGCTCCTACTCCAAGTAGAGCTGAATTGTAGGAACAAATGTACACTGCTACTTTCTACCCTCTGTTTTGCAAGGTGACCTCAAATTCCCAATGGACATGGTGATGTTCTCAACAAATGCAGTGAGGAGGTATTATATTCTTAGTGGTCATTGAAACTCATGATTTTTATATATATTCTAGCTTCTTCAAAGGAAAGGTGTGTTTTCATACTGCTATGGTACCCTTCGTATTATTATGTTATCCAGGGCTTTAGATTTACGACATAGATTATGCAGGGTGATGCAATTAACCTTTTCTCGCTCACTCATGCCAGGAACTTGGTGTCACTTTTTCTCCCTTTGCCTCTTGAGTCATAGAAGTCAGGATGATGATAAGGATATTGAAAATTGCCTGCTGTAGTCTAGGCTGTGTACCAACATGGAAAAAGTTAATTAGTTAGCCTTCAAATTACTTAGCTCGAAAGTTTAATAGATGAAATTTGTTGTTTCGTTTATCTGGACTAAACTGTCCACCTCAAAGTCATGGAATATTTGTTATAATCTGGTATAAATAAATATATATTGTCATTGAGTTTCAGTACAATCGCAGAAGAAGATAAGTCATGATGGAGTTGTGCATGAAAAATATATGTTCTGGTCGAATTTAAATTGTAAATTTGAATTTTTTTTGCAAAAAAATATATTGTAGGGGCGGTTCTAGACTGAACCGCCCCTACCAACAGGTATTATAGGGGCGGCTGGTACTACGGCCGCCCCTACAAATCGATTTAGTAGAGATGGTTAGTGTTACCAGCCGCCCCTATAAATTGGCGATTTGTAGCCACGCTTTGGTAGGGGCGGCTAGCCAAACCGCCCCTACAAATGCTCATGAGCCGTCCCTACAAATGATATCTATAGTAGTGCAACAAACTCGGCCTATAGATATATAGATGGCAAAAAAAAGAACTTGTCCCTTTGATGAGGTAGCTATTCATCCACGCCAAGGTACACTAACCAGTCCAATTAACTTCTTCTCAGGTAATAAAATGACAAATAGTACACCGTATATGCTGATAAGCAAATCTTTGTTGCATGATAAGGCCATTTAGATGAGTAAATGCACTACGGGAATCAGGAGATTTGCCGAGTGCCCCTGGCACTCGGCAAAGGGTTTGCCGAGTGTGACACTCAGCAAACGACACTCAGTGAATTTTTATCGGCAAACAGACTTTGCCGAGTGTTTTTTGTCGGACACTCGGCAAAGACTTCGCCGAGTGCCCAAAATATACTCGGCAAACATTTTTTTTGAAAAATAAAAAAAGCCACCACAAACATTTTATTCGAAAAAAACCACCACCGGCCGGTTTTCGCCGGCTGTCGTCGGTCTCCTTGGTGGCGCCCTTCCCCTGCATCTCGCCTCCGCTCCCCGGCTTCACGGCCGCCGCCACGAGCCACCATCGGCCACCACCACCACGCCACCACCCGCCACGCCGTGGAAGAGAGAGGAGGGAGAGGAGGGGGAGGGGCGCCGGCGGTGGGAAGACAGGGAGAGGAGGGGGCGGCCGCACCGGATCCGCCGTCGGGGAAGAGAGAGGAGGGGGCGGTCGCGCCGGATCCGCCGCCGGGGAAGAGAGAGGAGGGAGAGGAGGGGGAGGGGCGCCGGTGGTGGGAAGAGAGGGAGAGGAGGGGGCGGCCGCGCCGGATCCGCCGCCGGGGGAAGAGAGACAAGGGAGAGGAGGGGGAGGGGCGCCGGCGGTGGGAAGAGAGGGAGAGGAGGGGATGGCCACGCCAAGGCCGGATCTGGCCTCCCCGTTGACCACCATCGCCGGATCCGCCTGCGCCGGGGCTGGATCTGGTGGAGGCGGTGGAGGAGGGAGGGAGGTGAGCCAGTGAGGGAGGAGGGGAGGGCGGACCACGGCGGCGATGGAGGAGGGGAGGGCGGGCCGCGCCGGCGAGGGAGGAGGGGAGGGCAGGCCGCGCCGGCGTCGGAGAGGGAGAAGGGGAGGGCGGGGCCACGCCGAGGCCGAGAGGGAGGAGGGGGCGGCGCGTGCGCGTGCGCAGGAAGGGGGCGGCGCGTGCCCGTGCGCGAAGAAGGGGAGGGGGCGTGCGGACGCGGCGCGGGGAGAAGGGGAGCGTGCGGGGAGACCTAGGGCGCGTCCGCTGGGGTTAAAAAAAGATTTTTTTCGTTTGCCGAGTGTCCTAGATCTGGGCACTAGGCAAAGATTTTTTTTTCTTTTATTTCTTCTCTTTCTTTCCCAGAAAAAAATATTTTTTTACTTTGCCGAGTGTCCTAGATCTGGGCACTCGGCAAAGATTTTTTTTTCATTTTTTTTCTTCTCTTTCTTTCCCAGAAAAAAGATTTTTTTCGTTTGCCGAGTGTCCTACTCCGCAAAGATTTTTTTTCATTTTTTTTCTTCTCTTTCTTTCCCAGAATTTTTTTTTACTTTGCCGAGTGTCCTAGATATGGGCACTCGGCAAAGATTTTTTTTTCATTTTTTTCTTCTCTTTCTTTCCTAGAAAAAATATTTTTTTTACTTTGCCGAGTGTCCTAGATCTGGGTACTCAGCAAAGATTTTTTTTTCATTGTTTTTCTTCTCTTTCTTGCCCAGAAAAAATATTTTTTCCTTTGCTGAGTGTAAAAAAAATATTGTGCAAACTCCATCTTTGCTAAGTGTTTTTTTTGACACTCGGCAAACCATCTCTTTACCGAGTGTTTTTTTTACCGAGTGTTTTTATGGCAGCACTCGGCAAAGAACTTTTTTGCCGAGTGCCCGAGAGAATACACTCGGCAAACACAAAAACACTCGACAAATTTGACGTTTCCGGTAGTGATGCATCCCAAGAGAAAAGCATGTACCAGCGATTCCCACTAGAAGCATTACGAAGAGCTCGAGATTTTACTTTTTAGTTCCATATAGAATCCTAGTGGGTCCCAGGTGTAGTAAAGCTGGCTGATCCGTGGTGCAGTTTATACCAAGATCTCAAGTTTTTATTTTTTTTTTCCAAAACAAATTCTGGCGCATCCTGAGTGTAGTTAAGCTGGCTGTGTTTTACTCTAGCGACCAAGATCTCTGAGTTCTTTCATAAATAATTCCAGTGAGCCCAGGTGCAGTAAAGCTGGCTGCGTTTTACTCCGATAACTAATTTCTCGAGTTTTTGTCATAAACAATCATAGTGGGCCAATGACACTAATCTTAGAGCATCTCCAGCAGGTCACCAATAATGGGGACCTTTAGTCCTAGTTGAAGCCATCAACCGGGACTAAAGGTCCCTCTACGGCTATCCGTTGTTCCCGGGACTAATGTGACAATGTTGACATTAGTCCCGGACCCCAAGACGACTGGGACTGTAAGCTAAAAACCAAAGGTCCATTCTCTACTAGTGCCAGCCTCTAAGATGCATGATAGACAGCCACCAGAGGCCAATTAATGCAGCCTTAAGCGCACCATCCAGGCATTTCCTACAGCAGACCACAGGCCACTAAGCATTTGGACTCCTGAAAGCCATTACAGGTGGCACAGTTTCAGTTCGAGGAGTTAGTGCAAAGCTGCAGCACAAGCTAGTAATATATTAGTGCAAAACTGCTATGTAAATATACGGAGTGATCTAGATGGATCGCAAGATGTACATGCCATTCGATGCACATAATTGCCAATCCATTTTTGGGTTCAGCTAGCATGGTACTGATGATTTGAATGTGTGACAAACAAACCCAACATACTTCGATCTGCTAGCAATTCCCAGCGGCAGTATTGATTATAGATAAAATAAAAAAAACTAAAAATAAATACATGGGCCACTGTCATCTGTATCAACAGCTGAAATGTTGTCATTCGAGGAACATAGGAGGTTCGGCTTTGAGGGACATGGTATCTGTTGACAATGATTTAGGTAGGAGGTTCGGCTTAGAGGGCCCGCACATGCGGTTGTTGCCATCTCTGCTGCATATGCGCGGGGTACGTTGTCATGGTGTGCGCGGTGGCTCGGGTGTAGCATCGAGCCGTCCACTGTGGCCGTCGCCGTCAGGATCATCCGCTCCTTGGCACAGATCGAACCCTTGTCTCTCCTCGTCCATCTCTCCTAAGTTCTAGCTTGGAGCAGATGCAAAGCTGCAACAGGCATTGTTTTTTGTCGATAATGCCCTGTAATACAAGTCTAACTTCCCTCATGCTATAAATATATACATGGAGCGTCTCCATGGATTCTAGGTGTGTCCATAGATGGTATGCACTTAATTAGTGTTGTTCAGCACCGCGAACTACCCATGTCAGTTCATTCATAGTGCTGGTGACTGATGAGCTGCTCTTGAGAG